GGCGTTGTATGTCTAAGTGTTGGCATTGCGTTTGGTTTTAACTTGTAAGTTTTCCTTCTGTAATCAATCGGTTATGGTCAAGCCCACATCACACAAAATTTTAAAGAACCGAATTAAGGTTATTATGATCACCCGTAGTCAAAAGTGATGTCTTATGATACAATTTTTATGGCCGCTAATTAGTACTTGTCAACGAATAATTTTGAAAGACGGTGCTGTGTTCTCCCGCGTCTGCTGATTCCAAGTCCAAACTGTTCGTGACTGTTACCGGGTCGATAAATCGATACTCATTTTATTTGGATGTGAGTCATCACAAACTTATCTTCTTTCAAATGGAAAACTTTTAGACACGGACCGCGTAACAGTCATAGTGTAAGATACTGCAAACCCCACCTACCTCACGCCCATTTTCACCATGTTATTAAGTTATTCAACTCTATGTCTTGTTTTGTAGTTTTTCAGATATGTCTTACTCTAATAACCACTACGACTTAAACTACTCTAAAATTTTGTTTCTCTCATATCAATGACCAAATTATGAAAGCCTGTCACAGGGAAGCAACAGCGAAATCCAGGTGCCAGTCATATCAGGTGAAACAAAGGGAAACTTCCCGCTGTTCTGGACAACAGGGGAGTTCGGATGAAGAGATAGTTGTGGTGATAAGGAGTGAGGTGGAGAAGATAAGGTGTGTGGACGGCAGGAGCCTGATAAAGGCAGGGTGTCGGGTGTCGCTTGAGTGCCTTTGATGTAACGGTGCCTGCCACTGTAAATGATAGCGCCAAATGCCAGGCTGACCTCGCCCTGACCCCACGTACAGGTCGGTGGCGTCAGCACAGGTATGCGGGTACCTGGCACTTTGAGGTCGGGTCGGAGCGGGCGGGCGGGACGTACGGTGTGGGAACGTGATCAAAGTGTGGCTGTGGAGACGGGCTGGCAGGGCTCACGGGGAATAAATGACCGGGGTAACCTTGAGTCCGCGCCGTGGTACAAAACACCTGAGGAATACAGGTGTCAATAACAACCCTCCGAGTTCGTAACCTCGTATAGTCTTCAGCTGACTCAGTTATGTAGGATTCCAAATAAACTTATCATAAAAAGGTCTATAAAACTTGTTTATTACAGAATATGTGAGCATCATGGCACTACCTGTGGATCAAGATGGCTTAAGAAATATCTTAGTTTGGTAGTGTTTCTGTTCGCTGACTAACGCCTGTAATGTTTACCATATCACTGCCGTTATTTAATGTTTACCTCCTCGCTCCGCTCAGGACTGCAGCATATATAGTTTAACGCTGTATGTAGTATAACGGTATCACTATCGATATCGTCACTGTTATCATTATAACCTGCGGCGTATAGAACTAACCTGGCACTACAGGTCGCTAGGCAGCTAGTATGTTGCGCAAGTATGTTTTTCACAACTACCCTTTTTCGTAGACACATTTAGCTTTGCTGCCGTCTGTCCGTACGTATATGTACGTTTCGTTAAAGACAGACAGCACAGAGACACGGAGAATTATCAAAATATAACAATGCAGACTGATAATAAACTTGCACATAATATCGCAGAGAATTTCTGTTTTGCTATCATGAATTCCAAAGCAACGAAAAATTACGTGATGTCTTTGCTAAAAAGTACCATTTGACCAGTTCTCAGAAGACGCCGTATGCTGTAACATGTTTAACGCCTCTGACATGTTACTAGACAGTCAGCCTTCAGATTCCTGCCTTACTTGGTCATGTTTATTCTACATGCGTCATTCATCGTAGTCATGTTTATCCATGTGACGCGACTAAGCCTAAATGTCGTTATAATTGTCATTAATATTTCTATGAATGATAAGGCCGGTAGCAACCTTCCATGTAAGTGTTTTGCATATCATCGGCCAGTTATTTTGTCATAGTAATATGTCAAAGTCGAATATGGTTCCCATTTCACCTTAAGCGAAATTTATATGACAATTTCACCGTGCAATAATTGCCAGGGTACAGCAGTATTCAGTATACATGTTAAGTAGCTCCGGAAAATTTCCATAATAATCAGAGATCATTTTTATCAGCTAATTCGTTAATAAGGTACGAAAAATAGACAACGAAAGTATCCGACTTTGGCATGCTTTACCATTATTACCATTGTACAGAACGCATTAAAGAAAGCTAGAAATTGAACGGGGCTAATAGCTACCCAGTCATGCCAAAATATATAAATAAACCAGCTGCCTGTCCGCTGTATTTTCGCCATTTCACGAACCTTCATATAGAATCTACCTTAATGTAGTCACACTTTTTAAAAGTTGATGATGTATCGTTATGCAAAATAAAGATCCTCAAAATTCGATGTAAAATTTTGACCGCAATAGTAAAATTTGTTGATTGTTCGTTACGAGTAGGTAACTAAGTTCTACAGCAGGCTCTCCGTACGGCATGTACGGAGTTGTCTCTCTAAGTAGACGCCATTAATACATATCATGTAACGTCATCAAATATTTTGTCATAAAACGGACTAGACACGGGTCAGTGGGGACTAACGGGTGAACTGACCTTCAGGAGTGGTCACCATTGTTGGGCATGGCCGCTCTTTTCACTCCGAAGTCCAGATAGTTTTCATTTGGACTGACACCGGACAATATATGGCCGTGGTTGTAAGCAATATGACCGTGGTTGTGTGCTGAGTAAAAAATCAACAAAAGCCAACGCCGAGTTAAGCAATCGAATCTCGTGTTTATTAGTTAAACGTAGCAGACTTAAACAATCAAACAGCGGGAATTAGCAATGGCGATTTGATTGACAGACCCAGACGCTATTTCTTCAAGAGTCTGTGAACGCGAACTTAAAACGAACGGCTCTGTGCAGAAATCGGATGTTTTCCCACCTTACCCTACGTCAACATACACACCTAGCCTAGGTTCGTCAAGTTCGATGTACCCTTCACACAAGCCACATGCTTTACATACATGGTTAAACCTTGGCTAAGTGTTTGTCCACAACAAATATTATGGGTTTTGAATGGGCTACACGGCACATTACACAGGTACACTACACCCACCCTTCGTCACAACACGACAAAAACGTTCGGAATCCACTCCTTACAACCGCGTGGACACCAGAGTCGCCTCCACGGGAAAAAATGGAAAATTTATGGCGATGTTTACAGGTCCGGGCTTCCGATACTATTTAGGATGGCGCCATTTTTATGACACATTTACACCCAGACATTTTGTGGCGGTGACTCAGTGGAGCACCAAACGTTCACTTACCACACAAAACTCACCCTAATTCACATCAACGAAATTGCGCTACCTAAATAGCCATTTTATATTCTTCCATAGACAGTACGAGTTATAATTTCAAAGTCTATATGATGACTATATAGAAAAATACTCATTACTGTGGACCTACCGTAGAGAACAAATTTGTTTCTGTTTGTTGCATACACAACAAATTGATATTATTCCATACACCGCAAATGGATTCAAAATCTTGCAGCTTATCTAATGAGTAGTTGGTTATTAATGTGGGGATGTTAATTCATATGTATATATGAAATAGAAACGCTAAGCACCACCGGTATATAATTAGCTCGGTGTCTTCATCTTGCATTAAAATACACAGGAATGTCGTTGCACATACTGAGTATATTGTACAGGTATTGTATATATACTAGGATGTCAGCTCCAGCAGTAACCAATTTAGTACCTACTTTTATTACCTACATTTCGTTACTGATTTTTCCTTATATTTTGTACAGCAGGAGCAATGCTTGTCTGCCCATATACTCAACCTCTATGTTTTTACATATACAGAAATAGATATTCCATTCACTGTGTACCTGTACATGTCAATATGTCAAAGTTTGTTATCGAAATGTTCCTTATCTCGATCACATACAGAACTTGCTGCTTCCTGTTCTGTTTCCTGTTTCTTTTACCGCCAAGTTTAATCGAATATGTCGCTCCCTCACTTAATTCTCAATTATGGTGGCAAGATTTCATCAGCATCGAATAAGCTGTGCAAAATCACGATCTCGAACGAACAAAGAGCCGCATCGCCAGCTCTGCTTTAATTATACATGCCATAATTTAGTCAGCTTTCCACACGGGCCAGCTGCCGCGGCAGTAATTCCCCTCACCATTTGATTATTCGCACAAAACAAGTGTCTGATGTGATATCTTGATTCCTCCAAGGTGCTGTGCGGTGTGATATTTTCAACAGTCTCTCACGTTCTCAATTCTTCCCAGTTCTCTTGTCTTTACGTCCGTCAGGACTGTTCAATATGACACAGTGGTGATTGAATTTGTGGACAGTTATTAAATGCACCTTAATTGATGCGGTTTCCGCAAGAATTCGTTTCTATCATAAACTAACAATTACCCCTGGGCAATGACTGGGAGTGTTTGTGGCGGGCGTGTTGAGGAAGGGCCCAAGGCCACCCCACGGAGCGCTCGAGAGGAAGGTGCAGCGATAAATCTAGTTAATTTTCTACCTCCACCCGCACCCACTATTTTGTACGATCAATACCCAGTCTCGGTCGGCCAGGGTTCATATTTGCACAAGTGTCGGACAAATATGCCGTACTTATGTTGCCAAGGTAGTTGATGGGCCGACGGCAAGTAGTTACATCTGTTGTGCTGGAAGGGCTGAAACGGGCCGACTTTCCATGGCTACCCCAGCTCAGGGCGAAGCAGCTTTTCTCCGCTGAATTCCCCCCTCGCTACTTTTCACCGGCTTGAAGGCTCTACGACCCTCTTCTGCCGGGTTTTATTTAGCGACTAGGAGCATGTGATGCAGGCTGTGCAAACAGCCAGGCCCTGGGCTGCCGTGAGATCGTGAGGAAACAGCAAACCGGCCCTCCCATGGCCCGACCTATCCCTGCTGCCGCCATTAGCTAACTACCCTGGCACCAATCTGTCACTTGCCTTATACAAGACATGTCATTCAAGGATGACAATTCCTACGGCTTACAATATTCACATAAATCTTAAGATCTACTCCAGCTTACCTAAGGCAGCAAACAGCACCTCTTGCCCATGTCTCCTCGCCCAAGGAACCCTGACAGAGCTCAAATCGTCATCCTTTCGTTGCTTTCCAGCCGAGTTTTCGTCGAAGTTCTTCTCCTCCACTATTTAGAGCAAAATCGTAGTACCTCAGAAGATTTCCATCACATTATTTCAGCCAAGCAGTGAAACCCCACAGCCACCTACACCTTGACCCTCGCAGCCCTTAAGGGGAAGTTGGTCGCTGTTTTGCTCCTCCTGAAGGTCTTACGTCCCGGGCGTGTGGTAAGACCCGGCGGGATCCTGTAGGGCCGGGCCGTGCGGGCCGGTCGGTGCAGGCGGGCAGGAGACGCGCATGGCTCCCGCCGCCCTGCCATTTTGTCTCCCCTCTGAACCTCGCGGAGAAACAACTAGCCCACCAAATCTAGTACTAATATTTAGCTCCTTACGCTCTAAAACAAATGAAACTGGCAACCCGTTATATATTACGTTTTTATTTGATCTGCTGTGTTAGTCTGTTGACTTTGGAGCAGAGCAAAACTTCCACTTGCACGCAACTTTCTCCCGTCGAGAAACAAGATACCAGCCACACAATATACTTGTAAAATAACAGCGACACGCATATGACCAAGGATCGACAAATATTTCCAAGCGGAGACCTAGAATGAGGGCCAAGGGAGAGAATTCTGCTTGTTCTGTAAACCTAGCTGGTCGCGGTGAAACCTTTTCTGTTTACCATCCTCTGGTAACGAGTTCAGTTGTAAGCAATACGATTGTTGGGTCCTTACATAGATACGTGAGAACATCGGTTCCTTAAGAGCCGCAGGGAATATTAGAGGGCCATTTGGGACTGAACAAAGGAATTGTGATTTTTTCGTTGGTATATCGTATTTAGAATTTGGTGGGGGGGGGCAGAGATAGAGTGCACCGACCTCGTGATCGCTGTTTGTTATTCTAAGCTACCAGTTTTTATGTGGTTGTCCTACCATGGCTACCGGTATAATGTCGACGCATCTCAATGGTCAAGGGACAATCTGGATGAATTTTCATGCTCGGTCGTTTCGACGTGTGTGTCCCGGACGCACTTTGAAGCAACTTTGTAACCTGTTCAACTATGTCTGAAATTCATTATTTTGGCGCATTTTCTACATATACATTTTATGATGACGTTACATTTTGATTACACAGTATACGTGAAGTAGATAAATGGTATGTGTATTTACACCGGACAGTTAAACATGGTGATGGTGTGTTTTGATGCCTGGTTGCCTTCCTGATTGATACGTAATGTGTTGTTTTCTTTCTCCCACGCAAACCTACACTTTTCAACACTTAGCGAGGTCGCGAAAAGGTCTACCTGATACTCCTTTCACATCAATGCATGAAGCTCCGCCCGGCTCTGACAGCCCCCCTAGCCGGCTGGAACTGATAGCTGGAGTTTTCATCATCTCAGCTGACATGCCGCGGTGGTGACTAAGTGGTGTAAGTAGCTTCTTGGATGAGAAGGAGAAACAGAAAGCCGGTTTGAGACTCCTTCTAAGCTGAGACAGGCGTTGGGGACGCCATCTGATCGTGACAAGTATAGGTTGCCGAGGTAAAGGTTACATAGAGCGGTGTGGGGGTGGCGACAGGCGTGTGCGGGGAGGGTGGGGTAGTCTTACCTGTGGCCAGGGAAGGTCGCACGGGCCACTGGACAGGAGAGATTACAGCCTAGAAACATGGACGACTCTTTACCCCGGCCTTGGCACAGGTCTGAGTTATAATCATGATGAATATGGCTACAATACATGTACGATAATGTAATATCTAAGAACCTCTGAATTAGACTGCCACCATTTTTTGTTCTTTCATACCCCATATAATTGGAAACACGTAAACATCATAAGGCATACAGCACACGAACCTACTCATGAGAAAAAAGGGTCCATACAAGCCTCGTAAATATTTTCCACGTGTGAGCTTACAAACATTAGTGCTCCGTGCTAACTCTCACACAATGAGGTGTCACAATTGACTGCTTGCTAAATTTGACTTACCACCTTTTGCACCTCTTCCTTTTTATCACATAGTCGACAATAAACAACAGGACAGGCAGAGTATACTACATTCAGATCATGTTGGGAAGTCGGAGTTAACAGCCCTTCGACAGGTATGCGGGACAAAGCACAAAGAACACAGCCAGCAGTCGAGTGGTCTTGTGCAGCCATGTTGGTGGTCCTGTGAATAAATGGACGACCCTTCAGCTAGTCAGCTACCAACTTGTTGAGATTTTTCACTTTTTTCCTCTGCTTATTCTGTTGTGTATTTTCTCTGAGCCGTGTGATTGGGAGAAGTGGCGGGACTGATATACAAGGACAGGACGACAGAAGGACACACGGAATTGCTTCTCTACTTCTCCAACAGCGAGTTGCATCAGAACTAGCTGTGCGCCTCTGACAATCTTAGTAACAACAGTAGTCCATCGCTGGCAGCTGTACCTTCTGCCAGTTTTACCCCCGCCTTATCCCACAAATGTCACAAGACCGTGAGCAGAGACACAGCCACAGGTCAGGCAAACAAAGACACACTGTTCTACACCACATCTAATATTCCTGTACTGTAGGTCCCAGCGAGGACCAGATTCTTAATGCAGGGTTTGGAATCCAAGGAATCTTTTGAAGCAAAAAGAGGGCTCGTTTCATCCCACGAGAATATTCCTCTACATTACTGTGCTAGGACATCGCTGTAAATCTTCTGTGGGAAAAGGACGGGGGTAATGAGGAGACCTCTTGAGCCTCTGTTATGGGAGGACGGTGAGATGCTGAGCCATCGACTTCTCATTCTCCTTTTAACTAATTGTAATGAAGAGGCGAACACACATTCATGAGCTGGGGTAGTTATAATCAGAAAGCATTGTACTGCTCATTTGGCCCATCAATTTCCCAATTCTCAGACAATTCCCACCAATTTGTAAGTTTGTGAAGTGATAATCGAGCCCGACACCCTCCCTATTGTCCTCCAATCGGCCACACAAAGGGCGGTCGTTCTCACCCCATGAGCGTGCAAAATGCCGCACTTTTGTTGAGTAAAATAATTTAGGAAGAAAAAGAATGCCTGCTGCTAGCATGAAGACGTGACCTTCTCTCCATGACAATAAACCGATTTCTCGAGTCTTCACGGCTCATAGGTTTCACACACACAAAATTTACACATCTGAACACTCATTTCTCTGTTTGGCGATGCAGGGAATGAGACGTTTTCCGTAAAATAATCCACAATAGCAAGATTCGGGGATAGCCCTCCGCTGGTCACAATGTTTTCTTTGCACATGGTACAGAAAGGCTTGCTGGACGTTCTTATCTTGTGTATATATACATACTGTGGAAACAAAGATCTTCATGGTGGAGCCACCCGGCTTAGCTGTATAGCCTGGTTACATAGGAACGTAATCTTTTCGTGCTTTAACTTAAATCTCCTAAGGAAACCCTAAAATGACGTCGTCTGCCGTGTACATCTGGTGACTTTGCTTACACAACAAAGTATCCAGCTTTTCCTCCGCGAACAACACCAAGCTTGCTCCTCTCTGTGCTCAGTCTTATCTCACGGTCACTTCCAATGCATTTTTACGAGTCCCGATAATAGAGTTTGATGGAGACGAGAATTGGTACGGCCTGTTAGAATGTGTACCCTTGGTGCTATCGAGTTCTACAGGAAGAATACCAAAGACATCTAAATATAGACGCAAGGCAAGCAAACGTAACGCGGCCCTGCTGGTATAATATCTGCCCTCTCGGACAGGCTACATTTTGTATGATTTCAGTCTAGTTATTTTCAGAGCTTGTAAAAAATGTCCGTGTCATAGAGTATGAAATTGGAAGAATATCGGGTGTAAAATTGAAATTTTCGTTGTTTACTGAACTCCGGTTAATTTGATAGCAGATTTTCCTCACCACTGTGACCGGATAATTCATTCAAATAAAACGTGTTTATGACCAAGGCTTTTGTCTTTTTATCGGCTTCTTACCTTTGGATCCTGGTTTCTTGTGTCTTAGAATGGAACCAAGGCTTCAAACGTTCCGCCATCACAGCTCGATCTAAATCTTCTCGCGATGTCAACAACAACAAGCTTTACATTGAATCAGGGATGACCTCCTTTTCTTGTCGCCTTCTCCCTGCTGTGGAGATTACCAGCCAATCTCTCGCGGCCACTGCCAGGTTCTGACTGATGGCACGGCAGCTAACTGGCCATGGATTCGTCACACCTAATGATCACTTCAAATCAACGAAATAACAGTGAAACAAGAACTACGGCTCATATTTCCTACATAGAGGCGATTACTAGTATTCTACGAAAAGGCACTACCGGTATTCACGCTCTCCTGCACTCGCTGTGAAAATACAGCGTTCGCCATGTTTTGTTTTCAACGAGCGAGGAATTTAGGGTGAATCTGCTTTAGCTAAGCTGTGGAAAAATCCCCTACAGATGTGCTACATTTCCCACGAAGATTCTGACTTTTTAAAACAAAAAAATGAGCCTTGGCTTCAAATAAAGGTGACTAAAACGTAGGCCGAATTTAGGTGTCGGTACAACATGCATGTGTCCCTCTAGTTGTGTATTCGATGCCTTTGAAACTCAGCGAAGGTGTGTATTCGTCATCTTGTACACACAGTCACTCCCCTCGCTAATTTTTCATGAAACCCCAAATTCAAAACCCTTCCTCCAACAATGCGGTTAACACAACAACCCTTTCTCCCAATTTACACTTGCAAATTCGATCTATCTTGTTTTCATTCGTACAGCGGCCCGGTAAGGGAGCACGGCTTAAAACAATGGGCGCCAACTTGGAGAGAAAAACTTCTTTTCTTCTACCAAAACGACAAAAGTCACTGCCCGACTGCAGTGTGAACTAGAGTATGACAGGGACTACCCTGTCTAGTCCTGGATTTGTTCAGGGGATGCCTCATGACTCTCTTGAACACACTACGGTATTTGGTACACAATTGAGTGTGTATGAGGTCTAACATTCAGAGATATTTGCAGATGGGGATAGAGTTCTATTTGCTATTGTCAAGAACAACCCCGCTTGGTTACAACAAGCAAGAGGGGATCCCCGGCCATGTGGACACACATATACACACACGTAGTGCGTCACTACTCAATGGTGAGAATCACCCTGCCTGTGGAATGATGACTTTCCCTGTTGTTTCTGCCGCCCCCCTCCCCGCCGGTCAGAGCGCGTGTACCTGGCCCACCCTAGCAACAGGCAGGCGCTCCTGTGTGGAACCTGTGTCTCGGAGACACCGAGTCGCCCTACTAAGTGGTCACAGGAAATCGGTCGGAATGCTTTCAGCAGAAAAGGATTAGACCTGAGGGGAAGTCGTGAGGACGTTTCTGGGCTGCCTACTTTCAACACCTGGATACGACAGGTGTAACTGGGGAAGATTTGCCCTGAGGGGAAGTTCATGTTGCTGTTAC